ACTTTAGAGACATCATACATTCCAAATGATTCTGAAAATATGTATAATTTTATTCAAGAAACAATAAATAATGCAGCCACTAAGCACATTAAACAGTATAAATTACCAAGATCGGATACAATAAACCGGCTTTATGGTGGGATAATGAATGCGAAATTCAAGTTAGAAAAAGAAGAATAGCATTTAAAAGACTAAAAGCTCAATTCAACTTCAAAAATTACCTGGAGCTCCAAAAAATCACAGCACAGACTAGAAAACTATTTAAAACAAAAAAAAGAGAAAAATGGCTTGAATTCGTGAATTCCATCAATAGAAATACAAACATTAATAAATTATGGAACATTGTAAAAAGATTAAATAATAAAAATAATGGCGAGTCCCCAATTCAGCAAATGAGTGACAATTTCTGTGAGACAATTTTGAAGATCCATACGCCTGACTTTGTACCTGGTCCCGTACAATACTCCCAAGACCAAGCAGAAGAAACAAGTGATGACTACGCAATTCATGAAATCGAAGGACGCATTGATTATGAGGAGCTAGAACTGGCACTAAAAGACAAAAGAAACAGCTCTCCAGGATTTGATAACATCACATACATTATGATTAAAGAATGCCCCAAAGCATTCAAATGTATAATAGTTGAAATGTTCAACTTTATATTAAATTCAAGTTGGATCCCGGAAGATTGGAAAATTGCGGTGCTAGTGCCAATATTAAAACCGCAAAAAAATCCAAGTGATCATAAGTCCTATCGACCAATAATGCTTCTTCCTTGTCTCACGAAAATCTTTGAAAGCATTTTAAAAAAAAGATTAGAATGGTACATAGAGAAAAAGGGTATATTAAATAAATATCAATTCGGATTTAGGAGAGGAAAAGGTACAATCGACTTGTTGAGCGAGCTACTGGTAGATCTATATAGTGCATTGTCATATAAAAAAGAAGTGCTACTAGTTACGGCAGATATTGAAAAGGCATATGATCATGTTGATCATAATATTCTCAAAAAGAAGCTACATAATTACAAGACAATATTATTATTATTATAATGTCACTGCTATCCAATAGAAAAATTTACGTGAGAAATAAGAATCGTCTAATAGGGCCAAGGACATCATATACGGGCATCCCACAAGGTTCGATTCTGAGCCCTCTCCTATTTAACATCTATATGGCAGACTTTATATCGTCAGAAGGGACAAGAGTCAAAAAGCTACAATATGCGGACGATCTGATTATGTACACAGTTTCTCACTCAGTAGAGCATTGCAGAGCAGAAATGGCTAATGCCATATCAAAAGATTTGGAATGGATGCGGAATAATAGACTTGTTTTGAAACCGAGGAAGACCAAAAGCATAATTTTTACCAGGCATAGATTTCCCAAAAATATGCATGTAATAGTTATTGATACGATAAGAATCGAAATATTAGAAAACATTAAAATCCTGGGTGTGACTTTTGATAAAAAATTAAATTTCAACAAGCACATAAGCGAGATATTATTCAAATGCGAGAAAGGGATTAATTTACTCAAAAGAGTATGTAACACCAGCTGGGGTACACACCCAAATGCATGTCTTTCTTTATATAAAGCTATCATTAGACCCCATTTTGACTATGGCTGTCAAATTTACGGAGGATTGTCCGCAGGCTTACATAAAAAGTTGAGTAGAGCGCAATTTGCAGCTATAAGAACATGTCTGGGATCTTTAAAATCAACCCCCACTAACTCTTTATTAGCTGAAGCCGGGGAAGCTCCCTTAGATATAAGAAAACAAGTACTAACGAATAGATTCTTGATCAAAAAAGTCAATTTTGATCATTCATGGATTCAAGATCAGCTAGAGGCACTGGCAGTTTGGCATTTCAATAATAGGTACTGGTTTAATAAACCGATCCCTCCGCTAGTTGCTGGTTTTCATTCATTAAAGTCTTTAGAAGATAACATAATAATAAGCAACAGATTGGCCTACTACACAGTGACTTGGAAAGCAACGATTCCCAAAAAATATATACACCTATCAGACGAATTAGTCATTGGAAAGAATATGGATAAGAAAATAATCAATCTGGAATTGCACGCCTTATTGAACACTAGATGGGAAAAGTATATACAAATCTATACGGACGGCTCAAAAACTGATGACGGCGTTGGCTGTGCTGTATACATACCAAGCCAGGATATACAGCTTCAAATTAAACTCCCAGATTGGGCATCAATATTTACTGCAGAATTGACGGCTATCAACAATGCATCAATTAAGGAAGGCATAAATTAAAGAAGGCAATGATTCTTTCTGATAGCATGTCCTCACTGCATGCCTTAAATATGCCTAAAGATTATGGCAATCCATTAATATTCGACTGTTTACAAAAAATAGAAAAGCTAAACAACAATAACTACAAGATCGAATTAGTATGGATATGAGGCCATCACAATATCACCGGGAATGAGATCGCGGATAGCCTGGCCAAAGAGGCACAAAACTCAGCCACTTTAATTAAAAAAGCTCCTGCCGTGGATCTGAAACGAAAGATCACAAAAATGGGGATGTTGCATTGGCAAAAAATATTTGATCTCGAATCAGCGTCAAAAGGAATATTATTCCGACCGTGTAAACCGATAGTGTCCAGAAATACATGGTTTGAAAAATTTAACTGGAATAGAAGAGAGATATCTACAATATGCAGATTAAGATTGGCGCACACGAAGAACAATGTCCATCTATTTAGGATTGGGATCAAACAAGACCCGTTCTGTTCGTGCAGCACTGTACTGGACACAATAGATCACATATTGTGGAGTTGCCCATTGTATGAAAGGCAACGAATAATTCTGTTTAAAAAGCTTCAACAGCGGAATGTGACATTTCCTATAAATGCTAGGTTCATCATTAGTAGTAATAACATTGATTTGTACAGAATACTGATAGACTTTGTAAATGAATCTAATATAAGGCTATAGAGTAGGATGTTTTTAGGTTTGTTTATTGTAACTATTCTTCATTGGTATTGTGATTTTTAATTTTAATTTTCTACTTAGTTTATATTTATATTTGTATTGTAATTTGTAATGGCTGGATGACTAAGGAGTCGAGGCCAGTTAATAAATAAATAAAAAAAAAAAAACTTTCGGTTTGGGGACAGCTTTCGATACGCTGCCCCCCATAACATTATTTTAACTTACATTATCATAAACATTAATTTGATGCGCACTACACCGCGCTCATCCCTTCAACTCATATACGCTTAAGAACGGAAACTTTCGACTGACGCCCCTGAGGGACAATCTCCGACTCAATCCACTTGCGGACTTTCCCACACTCACTCAATCCTTCATCAGGGATGGTTTCACATATATGGAAAGGGTTGTCTCCATATAATTTACTGTGCTGTAATTCTTTAACAAAGGATCTATATTTAATCAAAAATATCATCGAACAGATTCCTGTCAGAATAATTGTAACAGGAGATTTCAATAGCAAACATTTAGCTTGGGGTAATGAAATAATTGACAGAGGAAGAGCTATTATTTACAATATTGTGGATAGCCTTAATCTGTTAATGCTGAATGACGGAACGCATACGACAGCACAAACGCCTAGGAAGAAATCAGCCGCCATCGACCTGACTTTCTGTTCGCCTTCTGTTCATGATAGACTTCATTGGAGCGTAATACCAGATAATGTAGGCTCTGACTATTTGCCTATCTTAATAAAGATGCAATTCAAATGTAATACGAGAGTGGGATGGTATCCAGGCAGAAAATGGATGACTAAGGAGGCAAATTGGAATGAGTATAGATTAGATATCGAAGAGACTTTAGAGACATCATACATTCCAAATGATTCTGAAAATATGTATAATTTTATTCAAGAAACAATAAATAATGCAGCCACTAAGCACATTAAACAGTATAAATTACCAAGATCGGATACAATAAACCGGCTTTATGGTGGGATAATGAATGCGAAATTCAAGTTAGAAAAAGAAGAATAGCATTTAAAGACTAAAAGCTCAATTCAACTTCAAAAATTACCTGGAGCTCCAAAAAATCACAGCACAGACTAGAAAACTATTTAAAACAAAAAAAAAAAAGAGAAAAATGGCTTGAATTCGTGAATTCCATCAATAGAAATACAAACATTAATAAATTATGGAACATTGTAAAAAGATTAAATAATAAAAATAATGGCGAGTCCCCAATTCAGCAAATGAGTGACAATTTCTGTGAGACAATTTTGAAGATCCATACGCCTGACTTTGTACCTGGTCCCGTACAATACTCCCAAGACCAAGCAGAAGAAACAAGTGATGACTACGCAATTCATGAAATCGAAGGACGCATTGATTATGAGGAGCTAGAACTGGCACTAAAAGACAAAAGAAACAGCTCTCCAGGATTTGATAACATCACATACATTATGATTAAAGAATGCCCCAAAGCATTCAAATGTATAATAGTTGAAATGTTCAACTTTATATTAAATTCAAGTTGGATCCCGGAAGATTGGAAAATTGCGGTGCTAGTGCCAATATTAAAACCGCAAAAAAATCCAAGTGATCATAAGTCCTATCGACCAATAATGCTTCTTCCTTGTCTCACGAAAATCTTTGAAAGCATTTTAAAAAAAAGATTAGAATGGTACATAGAGAAAAGGGTATATTAAATAAATATCAATTCGGATTTAGGAGAGGAAAAGGTACAATCGACTTGTTGAGCGAGCTACTGGTAGATCTATATAGTGCATTGTCATATAAAAAAGAAGTGCTACTAGTTACGGCAGATATTGAAAAGGCATATGATCATGTTGATCATAATATTCTCAAAAAGAAGCTACATAATTACAAGACAATATTATTATTATTATAATGTCACTGCTATCCAATAGAAAAATTTACGTGAGAAATAAGAATCGTCTAATAGGGCCAAGGACATCATATACGGGCATCCCACAAGGTTCGATTCTGAGCCCTCTCCTATTTAACATCTATATGGCAGACTTTATATCGTCAGAAGGGACAAGAGTCAAAAAGCTACAATATGCGGACGATCTGATTATGTACACAGTTTCTCACTCAGTAGAGCATTGCAGAGCAGAAATGGCTAATGCCATATCAAAAGATTTGGAATGGATGCGGAATAATAGACTTGTTTTGAAACCGAGGAAGACCAAAAGCATAATTTTTACCAGGCATAGATTTCCCAAAAATATGCATGTAATAGTTATTGATACGATAAGAATCGAAATATTAGAAAACATTAAAATCCTGGGTGTGACTTTTGATAAAAAATTAAATTTCAACAAGCACATAAGCGAGATATTATTCAAATGCGAGAAAGGGATTAATTTACTCAAAAGAGTATGTAACACCAGCTGGGGTACACACCCAAATGCATGTCTTTCTTTATATAAAGCTATCATTAGACCCCATTTTGACTATGGCTGTCAAATTTACGGAGGATTGTCCGCAGGCTTACATAAAAAGTTGAGTAGAGCGCAATTTGCAGCTATAAGAACATGTCTGGGATCTTTAAAATCAACCCCCACTAACTCTTTATTAGCTGAAGCCGGGGAAGCTCCCTTAGATATAAGAAAACAAGTACTAACGAATAGATTCTTGATCAAAAAAGTCAATTTTGATCATTCATGGATTCAAGATCAGCTAGAGGCACTGGCAGTTTGGCATTTCAATAATAGGTACTGGTTTAATAAACCGATCCCTCCGCTAGTTGCTGGTTTTCATTCATTAAAGTCTTTAGAAGATAACATAATAATAAGCAACAGATTGGCCTACTACACAGTGACTTGGAAAGCAACGATTCCCAAAAAATATATACACCTATCAGACGAATTAGTCATTGGAAAGAATATGGATAAGAAAATAATCAATCTGGAATTGCACGCCTTATTGAACACTAGATGGGAAAAGTATATACAAATCTATACGGACGGCTCAAAAACTGATGACGGCGTTGGCTGTGCTGTATACATACCAAGCCAGGATATACAGCTTCAAATTAAACTCCCAGATTGGGCATCAATATTTACTGCAGAATTGACGGCTATCAACAATGCATCAATTAAGGAAGGCATAAATTAAAGAAGGCAATGATTCTTTCTGATAGCATGTCCTCACTGCATGCCTTAAATATGCCTAAAGATTATGGCAATCCATTAATATTCGACTGTTTACAAAAAATAGAAAAGCTAAACAACAATAACTACAAGATCGAATTAGTATGGATATGAGGCCATCACAATATCACCGGGAATGAGATCGCGGATAGCCTGGCCAAAGAGGCACAAAACTCAGCCACTTTAATTAAAAAAGCTCCTGCCGTGGATCTGAAACGAAAGATCACAAAAATGGGGATGTTGCATTGGCAAAAAATATTTGATCTCGAATCAGCGTCAAAAGGAATATTATTCCGACCGTGTAAACCGATAGTGTCCAGAAATACATGGTTTGAAAAATTTAACTGGAATAGAAGAGAGATATCTACAATATGCAGATTAAGATTGGCGCACACGAAGAACAATGTCCATCTATTTAGGATTGGGATCAAACAAGACCCGTTCTGTTCGTGCAGCACTGTACTGGACACAATAGATCACATATTGTGGAGTTGCCCATTGTATGAAAGGCAACGAATAATTCTGTTTAAAAAGCTTCAACAGCGGAATGTGACATTTCCTATAAATGCTAGGTTCATCATTAGTAGTAATAACATTGATTTGTACAGAATACTGATAGACTTTGTAAATGAATCTAATATAAGGCTATAGAGTAGGATGTTTTTAGGTTTGTTTATTGTAACTATTCTTCATTGGTATTGTGATTTTTAATTTTAATTTTCTACTTAGTTTATATTTATATTTGTATTGTAATTTGTAATGGCTGGATGACTAAGGAGTCGAGGCCAGTTAATAAATAAATAAAAAAAAAAAAAACTTTCGGTTTGGGGACAGCTTTCGATACGCTGCCCCCCATAACATTATTTTAACTTACATTATCATAAACATTAATTTGATGCGCACTACACCGCGCTCATCCCTTCAACTCATATACGCTTAAGAACGGAAACTTTCGACTGACGCCCCTGAGGGACAATCTCCGACTCAATCCACTTGCGGACTTTCCCACACTCACTCAATCCTTCATCAGGGATGGTTTCACATATATGGAAAGGGTTGTCTCCATATAATTTACTGTGCTGTAATTCGTATGAAATTTTGGAATTAGGTTCATCTTAGTCTCAAGATCAAAAGTGAAAATAATTTGAACTCCACTGGTGGAGGACACCCATCCTCAGTGTAATTTCGTTTGTTTTTAAAATAACGTCAAATATCGATAGAAGAACTAATTATAAGAGAAAAATGTTTCATGATGTTCTTCAAGAAAGCAAATACTTTTGAAGTTACTGGCTACTAAAAATTAGTTTTTTTTGGCGTTTGTCATAGTTTTTTATTGCAAATATCTGCAAAAATATACATCAGAGACATGACGTTTTTATGCATATAGGGAGAGGTGTAGTTATGTGTTATTTCATATCTGTGTGTGGGTGCTCATGCACACATTCGTAACACTACTCCTCCTCCTCTAAAGATCGCCCTCGATCTTTCAAACCTCCGTCCCTGGTGCCGGACCAGCTTTCTCTGCTTCAGATATCCTAGGTGGCGCACTCTAACACCTGTCTGCTCCCCCGGATGAAACGTCGAGGGCGCATTACACCTTGTCCGATCTGTAATCTGCTCGACTCCCGTAGGCTCAGAGTTTTTCTCAGGCCGGCATTGTATCTCCAGCGCCCTGATCCACTATTCGTATTAATACGTACACGTATTTAATTTTTCACTACACTGTCAAAGTTTTTTATCTTCACAACCGAAAGTAAGATTTCATTAACAGTTTAACGATTTCAACCAAAAATTGTAATAGCCAACAAAAAAAGAAAACGTCACGAGAAAAGAAATCGATATGGCTCCGAGATGATGATAAATAAAGAATATATATGTATATAATTTGAATTATAATTTGAAAATTTTATTTACTAATATAACACCAATATAGATTAATTATAACATAGAGAAACATTATACACACCACAGGACAAAAACACTCAATAAATTTATTTTAAAAAATTAAACTTGTAACATATTAGAAAAAAACATTTTTTTTGAAAAAAAATTATGAATAACTAAAAGATTTGAAAACTAATTTGACTTAAAGTTTTGAAATGTAACATTATGAAGCATGAAACACGCCCATACCGAGCAAAAGACTCGACTGTAATCTTTCACTAGGCGTGTTTACAGGATTTTTTTTTCTGATATGTTACAAGTTTAATTTTTTAAAATAATTTTTTTGAGTGTTTTTGTCCTGTGGTGTGTATAATGTTTCTCTATGTTATAATTAATCTATATTGGTGTTATATTAGTAAAAAAAAATTTCAAATTGTTGTAGTTGCTGAATGATGACACGCATCTTGTGTCGAAACGTATAAATAAAAGTTTTTAATACTTTATACCTTTTTTATTTTGACGAATGGGCTGCTAGTTACTTTGAAATATGTTTCAACGTCGAAAAAACTATCAAGATATATATATATATATATATATATATATATATATATATATATATATATATATATAATATTGTACAAAACAGAATATATATAATATTGTATAAAACAAAAAATCCTCAAGATATAATATTGTATAACTTTATTTTTATACAACATTTTATACAAAATTAGACTACAATAATTCAAAAAATTGAACAAACATCACAATAATTGTTGTTATCGTTTGTATACTTTAATATTTATGAATTTAGCGTAAAAAATCCTTTTTTCCGCTCATCAACATTATTAAATATCATATATAGACTAAAAAATATTGATTTCAATTATCATTATGAAAAAATTGCTTATACCGGTATAAAACATGGAGATTTGTGCATACTATCAGGCCGGATGGAAGCCGAGTTTTTAACTCTGCTGATGTTGGTACGCCAGGTACACATCTGCCGTGATGAATATAAGCTTTTGATACTATAAGGAATAAAATATGTAAATGACAGACATCATCAAATACATTCAAAAAAAAATTTTTCTGCTATTTCAAAATCGTCTGCCATTGGTATTTTCCGATAGTAATAATATTATATTTTCGAAACGGCAGCCATCGTAAAATGGTTTGGAAATGGTCGAAAGCAAGGTACCTTTACCAGCTGCGCAGTAGCTGTGTCCGCCACTTTGAGCTTAGTCAGTCCCTATCTCATGTAGGATAGGTATAGAGAAATCGATGCACAAAATCTCAGGTGTCGTAAAATACATACTGTCATCCGCCCACGGGCTCTTGGACTATATTGTTAAAATCTCTATAATATATCTGATAATTTGATGTGCATATGTCTAATGGTCATTTTTGACTTATTTTACTAGATTACTAGATCTACGAAACCGCTAGACCTGCCTTCGTAAAAATTTGATCAGTTCTTCATTATGTCAATATAAGTAAAATGTTTTTTGAATTATTAAAATCGGAACTCCGTTCTCTTAATAACAGAGTTACCGTTTTTGGCACTTTTTGCCCCGTATCTTCGGAACGGCTAGACCTGCCATCGCCAAAAACTAATCAGCACGCCTCCTTATCAACAGCAATCTCAATAATTGAAATCGGTTGAACCGTGTTCCCAAAATCGTCCCGAAATTTGTATCCGCACACACACACACACTACACATAGATCCATTTTTTCTAAGGTATGCCAAAATGTTCAGAAAACTCTGAAACATTAAAGATATATAAAAATTTTCATTTTCGACTCACCCTACAGAAAGTTAAAAAAATGATGATATTATAATAAGAGTCATGTACTAACAGAGCAGAATTTCGTTTATTAACGCAGAAGGGGTTCAAAAAGATAAATACAGATTCAGCAAATTTTTTGAGATTACCATTTTTTTTCTTATGTAAAATAAGGCAAAGAATCGTAATAGTAATATTATTATTTTACATTATATATTTATATATAAATATATATATATATATATATATATATATATATATAATATTTTGAAATATGTGAGTTTGGTGTTGATATATATTTTGATGAGTTATTTAGAATCGGGCAGTAACACCAAGTAAAAAAAAACTAAAGTAGTTTTTAAATACTTTATTTATCCATAGGTTTCGGTCTTCATCGAGTAAAATTAATTGAACAAAAATACACTACACTATTACACTGTGATAAACCAAGCTATTAATAACTGGAACATTTAAACTAATTATTTTTTTGACAATTTTTTGGTTACATTCTAGTGTGTACAAATTGACTAACGTCTAAATACTGAATAAATTGTGTTTACAAATTTTGCGAAAGTGTAAAAAACACAGGCAAATATATGTTTTTTGTAAAATAATAAAATAATGAAAATACACGCTTCATTCAGATATGGTGGTGTTTTGAAAATGGTCGAGGATTATTGTTTAGTCATTGCAAAGCGAATGTTGTCAGTCATTAAATTTATGGCCGTCTCCTTGTGTAAAGATATTAGGCAACCTTCGCTAAATCGTCTTTTAAATAAATTATTTTCGAAATGAAGGATCGTGGTATTGGAAAAATCAATGTTATGTTTGAGCTGATTAATGTGATCCGTTAATTGTGTTTTATTCTGGTTCTTATTTTTAGAGTTGTTTTTGTGTTGCGATGTTTTTGTGCAAGTTTTGACTGGTTTCACCTATGTAGACGCAATTACAATCTATGCAATTAAGCTTATAAACTAGATTATAACTAGATCTAGTTTATAAGCTTAATTGCTTATAATTACTTTTTTGATATGTTAATATGAAAATGCACTTTTTGGCATATTTTTCTCAAACACGGTGCTCTGAAAGATCTCATTTGTATAATTATATACTCATTGGTATTTATAAAACATTTTCTAAGTTATATTTTTTTTTATTTATGGTATTTAAATTCTGAACCTAAAGGGTATGGGCGCATTGCCATATAGAATCGGCCCCACCCTGGTATTTAAATAATTTATATGCCATTTTATAGGTCTAAATGATAAAAACCGATATACCAATTTTCAACTTTGTATCTCATCTTATGGCCGAGATATCATTGAAAATATGTGAAAGTGGCCCCTTTTTTCAAACTCACTTTTTGACGTAACCATAAAAGATATCGAAAAAAAATTTACGTGGTGCTATTCATATTGGCTTAGGCCACATTACGTAGAACAATTAATGCCAAATAATTAAATATTATTAGCTGAAAAAGATAAAATAATTTTTCAATTGATGTTTTCCGGTAGTGCGTTTAGTTGGACCACCTTCTAATTAGCGTTATTCGAAAGCTTATTGTTTTTTCTTTTAGTACTGAAAATATTGTTCAAATCAATTTGGTGGAACACATTGGAAAATTGAAAAAACCGGAGCCAGTACACCCGCGCGTAACCCTAATAGTACCGTGCAATTGCATAGAGTTCGTTCGAATGGACATTTTGTCGAATAACATTTTTCCAGTTATAATTTTCCAGAATTTATCGCAAAATAGATAGTAACATATGAAGGTCCAGGATTAAAAAGGTCCACCACTGATGTGTCAAAAATCAGTAAAGTTAAGCATTGTTTAACAACAATATTTGAAAGTAGAGAAAAAAAGATGTATAGCCAGCTACAACCTTGATTTGAAAACGGTAATCTTTGAAATGGGGGAGATAAACGGTAATCTATGAGAATCCATAATAAAATATTTTCTTCCATTGGTAGTTTTTAAGCATTAGTTAAAAATGTAATTATTTTGTAAAATACCTTTAAAACTATAATAAGGCTTTAAATCTTTTTGCCACCTGCCCGTTTCAAGTTACCCCGCCTATAGGGTAAAAAAGTCTAGATAACAATTTTTGAACGACATCAAAAAGCACATTTCTACAATGATGAAGTAGAAGGCAGTTTACTGAACTCAGATAATTGTTCGTTTGATATGTGTAGTTTGTTGTGATATAATTGTTAGGGTTTTCACAATATAGTTTATATTTGCTCAAAGTCAAATTGGACCTTTGTGCCTCGCCCTGCTCTACATATATACTTTATATTTACTTTAATTCACCGAATGTCACTTTAAACTTTTCAAAAAGCAGGTCAAAAAAGAAATACTTAATTTATTTTCTATCTCTCCTCGCAAAAGTTTTAAAATTTTGTATGAGCTCAGTAGTATTATTTACAATTATACACAAAATCCAGAATCCAAAAAGAATGTGAAAAACTTGAAACGTAATCAATAAGTCGAAAGACCAAAAAATACTTGGATGGATTATACTATGTTGTGTTATACGATAAAGTGTATAAATCTTCCAGTTTGATTGTATTGACAAAATATAGACAAACTAATGTTTTTTTTTTTTTTTTTTATTTATTTATTATAATGGCATCTGATCTGAATCATACTGCCACCACTTAGTTTACAGAGAGATCTATATACAAAAATCTTTGAATACTAATCAATATACATAAACTTTGAATATACAATACAATATGATGTTGAATTTATAAATTAAATTTCTAAACTACTCTCCATAAGAAATTGATTAATAATATTATGTATGCTTTCAGAACTAATTAGAAGTAATTGATGAACGCTAGTAGGAAACTCAATTTTCTCTTTTTGCAGCTTGCAGCGTAAAATTTTTCCTTGCAGACTGAAATCGGGGACATTCAAAAAAAATGTGATTAAGGGATTCTTCCTCATACCCACATATACATGCTGGGGAATTGATAATATTAATTTTATTTAGGTGCTGTCGAAACCTCCCGTGACCTAGTCGTATCCTACATATATTTGTAATATATTTTCTAGTTTGTTTTATTTTTTTAAACCAAGGTTTTGTAGATACTTTCGGGTTTATTGATCCATACTACTGTCCTTTTTTCTCTAGAAACTTTGTATAATTGAGTTGCCATTGATGTAGTGCGATTTGCTTCAGCTTCTGTCTTAGGTCCGAAGCTGGGATTTTATGTCCTTCCTCCACGAATTGACAAGCCTGTTTTGCAAATTTGTCTACAGCTTCGTTGTTCTTAATACCTGCATGTGCCTTCATCCACACAATGTTTATTTTATATTTCCTGTTTTCTAACTTTTCTATAGTCTCTAGTATTTCCAAAATAATGTTATTTGTCTTACTGTCTATTTTTCCTAGCGCCTCTATTGCACTCCGAGAGTCGGTTAGAATGACACAGTTTTCTATATGATTATCTTCAATAATTTTTATTGCGTTTTTGATGCCTATAAGTTCAGCAGTAAAGATAGAAGTCAATTCTGGCAACTTGATGTATTTGACTGTATTGCTTGTTGGTTCAAAAGCTGCACATCCTGCTAAATTCCCTATTTTGGCTCCATCTGTGTACATAAATTTTGCTCCAGGCCATGTTAACCTTACCTTATAGTTAAATATTGTGTTTTGTAAAGCTACATTCATAATGTTAGTGTTTACCAGATTTTCTTCTAGGTATGTGTTTATTTTTTTTATATATTAATTTTTGTGGCAATTTAAACACTGGCAATGTAGAATTTTTGATTATATTATTTTCATATTTTTTGATATTTATGAGGCAATCTACTAATATGGATTTTGTTTCTTGCGCCAATATGTTTTTGTAGAAACTAGTTTATGTAACAGCTCCATTTGTGTAGGGATATTTTCGTTATCATTATGTATCTTTGTTAAAAGAAAATTATTTCCTAACATTGTTCTGCGGATACTTAGAGGTGGTTCACCAGTTTCCACCAGAAGAGCATTGGTTGGCGTTGAACGCATCGCTCCAATGCATACTCTTAGGGCTGCGTATTGCGTTTTGTCTAGTTTTTCCATAATGATTTTGCTCCTCGACCATATATAAAGCTGCCATAGTCTATTACGGATCTAATTATAGATTTGTAAATATTTATACATATCTGAGGATCTGCCAAGTTTAGCTAATAGTCTAAGTAGATTAATTCCACGTTCGCATCTCTTTATTGTGTATGTTATATGCTCTCTGAACATAATTTTCTCATCCAGATGTAGTCCTAGCAATTTAATGCTCCTTTTTCTGGCAATAACTTGTCATTGACTTTAATTTGTGTCAATTCTTCTGGTATTATGTGTCTACTGAAAATTATACTGGCTGTTTTATCTTGCGATAATGTTAGATGATTATTTAATGTCCATTGATGGAATTTAGACATTTCCCTTGTGAGTTTAGATATACATTCGTCAATACTATTTTGGGATGTATATATGATTATATCATCTGCATACTGTAGTATATGTGTGTCAGCTGTAAATATTTTTTCTACCTGAGCCATGTATATATTAAAAAGTAATGGTGATAGCAATGATCCCTGTGCTAATCCTTATTTGTTTTTTGGGACCGTATAATTTGTTGTTTGCCTTTATAAATATCTGTCGATTTGTTATCAGCTCTAAAATTATATTCCTTATAGATCTTCCGACCTTAAAGTGTAATAATTTTTCATGGAGTATGTCTATATTTATTGATTCATATGCTTTATTAATGTCAGTAGTAATTAGGAGTAAATATTTGTTATAAGAGTTAGAAATATGAATATCGTTAGTCAATTTTGCTAGATAGTCCATGGTTCTTTTCTTTTTCTAAATCC